GAAGAATTTAAAGATGATGTTATGGACAAATTCAATACAGTCTCATGCAAATACCAACAAACATAGACATCTGCATTTCAACAGTCAAATAACAACAAACAAATAAACAAAATTCGAGTTAACATCTGATAAAAAAACAACCCACGGATTGAACAAGAAGGGGGGTGTGGGTGGGTGTGTGGGTGTGGGGTGGGGGGGGGGGTGGTTGTGTGAGTGTGGGGTGTGGGTGTGGGTGGGTGTGTGGGTGTGGGTCTGTCTCATCTTAACGAACACCCACACCCACACCCGCACCCACACCCACACCCACACCCACCCACACACCCACACCCCACACCCCACACCCACACCCACACCCCACACCCTATGATTCATTTAAAGAACGATACGCTATCTAAATCCATTTGTTACTAAAACAAGATTGTCTATTATTTTTTTTGTCACCATTCATGCATAGTTTCACTATTAGTTCTGCGATGAATCTTATGAAACATGTTTTCTCTATTGAATGAGTTTTTATGATCATGATTGTTTTTCTGCTAGACATCACGAGCAAAAGTCTCTTTCATGATATGAAGCACAATTCGCTCTTTCGAATGGTATGTCGTGCAGAAAATTTTATCGTAATATGAAAGCACCGAATTTTGCAAGAATAACTTATTGAATAATTTTGGAAGAATGAAAATGGCATACTGCGATTGTATCATTCATAAAACCTCCATAGATAGATGGATATGTCTGAAACTTTGCATGAGTATACTAGATATCATGAGTTATGATATGATGAAAACCAGACTACTCTACCTCATCGAGCTTTTGCTATGTAAACAAAAAAATGGTTACTTGTTGCATAATTTTGATAGCTACTGTATGTCAATCCTTTTTACCGGAAGGCATTTCCTGATCGAGCTGACACTTTTTTCTCAAGCACTTCAAATAGTTTATTGTACTATTGTTTCCGCTTTTCAAAATACTTTTCAGTTCATTTTTTTCAAGTTTTACAATACTATACTCAATCAAAAAGGAACCGTTGTTTAGAGTGCTTATTGTATTTGATTTTTTTTGTGAACGATCCATCCGAAAGCGAAATAAAAAAACCTATTCCAGACTGTGTTAAGTACTTGAAAAAAGCTTCAGTTCAATCCATCAACAATTTTTGGTAGAAGTAAGAGATATAAGTTAGATCATTTTTACTACTTGCACCGCCTGTATCTCCCTAAGAAAAGATTTTAGTCTTTTTGAGTTGAACACCAACTTTGCTCCAATAGTCAAGACCTATTTGGATTGAAAGTTTCACGATGTGGATGTGGGACTCACATCCACACCTACTCCTATCGATCATCCACATGAATAAATCAATCATAATGAATAATGATTAATATTATTTCCATCATGTATACGAAACGATTCTCATAATATATTTTTGTAAATAGCAAAAAAATCTTTACCAAAGCATCTCCAATCTGTAGCATTTTTTCATATATTGACAGGTAGTTGAAATAATTTAACAACCAAACTATTTCAAAATTCCAAACTCTCTATACATTCGCATGTAAGTAATGAATATTCTTCAAAAAACAACAAAACAATATAAACACGGCAAACAGCAACAGGTTAAAAAATTAGTCTCAATTGAAACTATAACTATTTAATGAATTAGTAGGTGATGCCATTGGTGAATAAGATCCAGACTAACATCTAGGTAGTGAATTATGGCCGAGATGATATACGACAACAATATAAACATTTAAACTTTGACAATTACTTTTTCCAAAGTATGAAATTCATTCAAACTTGTTTTAAATACAATTGAACATAAACGTGGTTCTGCAATAAGAATAAATTTTATTTAAAGAAAATATTCCATTTAGACATTTACACATAAACATTTAAGTATAAATAAGCATGATTAAAAAAGAAGTTCTTTTACTGCTTGCTATTCTTGTGTTCAACAACTTCCAGCTATTGAATACCAATCTTCTCCGTTGACACTACACTTGCAGTACAGGTATAAAGTTCCTTTGCAAGCTCCTTTAACATTACTCATATTTGGATTTTTCTTGATACAATTTTGTTCGCACTTATCTGAATTTTTAGGACATCCACATGAACCACCATGAGCTTGATCTATTAGTTAATAAATTGCAACAATTAGAAGAATGTTGAACGATTCAGTTGTGGTACTTACAAACATGAGCAGCCAAAATCATTACCAGTAAAGCACAAATGAGGGAAGTACGAGCCATATGATCAGTTGAAAATTCTATAAAAAAATTCTGTCAGAGTATCTCTGTTATTCCAACTGCTAGACAAGAGCAAAGACTCACTGTAAAATCGATAGTATCGAAACAAAACGAAACGTGATTGGTAAAACTGTTGCTGATATATTCACAGTGTTGCTCATTCTTTTAAATTTCGCTTATATACAAGAGTCGTACGAATCAAAAAAATTTAACGACGCATACAACTGTGCGCAATACAGTATTTAGAATCTTTTTTTAAAGCAGCAGTAGACCATAAATAATATTCTCAGTTTTCTAGCAAATGACGCATATTTATTACTGATATTGCGAAGGTAAACACGATGTCTTCCTATGCCTTGACGAGAAGAATCAATCAAGAGACGAAAATAAATGCTTGATTCATTGGTTTGTCATCGTTTATTGAAAAATCACAGTGTAAAATCATAGTAATTAAAGTACAACATGTACTTTGAACAGAAAAAATATATCACAGAATAACTTTATTGTATAACATCTTTGAGTACAGGTTACTGAGGAGAAGACCATGAGAGGCACGAAGAGAGAGAATATGGAGAAAAGATAACGATCGAACTAGGAAAATATTCAATAAAAGAAACTATCTACGTATTTGTAAATTCTAGCCGAAAGAAAGGCAACGGCTGATCTCCATCTAAAAAAACCACAAGGTTAAAATCAGGTTGAAATCGATTTTTTTACCATTTTTTAAGCGATTTTAAACAAAAATAACCCAAAACAGTCAAAATTTCATTAAATATTATAAATAAACTCTTTCATCAGCTTGCATTGATTAGAATTATTCTTTTTGATTAGTGAATGTTGTACTTTAATTTATTTGACTGATCGGAGGATCATACCAAATAAAATAAGTTTGTGTGTCTGTTTGTTTGCACGTTGATACTCACATGTTCACATGTATTCGTGTAACTTTAGGGTACAACGAGTATTTTTAATAAAAACATTTTTCTCTGGAGATGCATAAATTCTCCTTTTCTCAAACAACTTAAAAGAAAGCTAAAAAATTTTAATATTATTGAGTGGAAGGGTGTGGGTGTGATTGTTGCATGGATTTCAATGAAGATAACATTCACATGCGATATGTGGAATTATTAGCTATTCGTAGCCACAAGAAAATCGATCTACATTATCGAAATAAAAAAACTTTATTTTACTCATAGATATTTAAATTTAAAAATCACTCATCAATGAACAGTTATATCTCTGCTAGTTGATCTGAAAAAATTTCAATAAGACATACATTTTTTCACTAAACCCCTCCCCATATTAGAAGCCCCCGGGGGCTTCTATTAGACCCTGCAAACTTTGGCCGGGTTTTGCTGGGCAAAACTGAAAATTTTGCTGGAGAGACCCCTCCAAGGGGGGCTTCTAATAAGGGGGGGCTTCTAATATGGGAGGGGCTTCTATTATGGGGAGGGGTTTACTATGTTTTATGTCGTTGTATTACAATTTTAGATCTCAATGTGAATTTCAAATGATAAAACATAAAAACAATATCAAATGTTCGAATGATTTTAGGAATTAGAGAAGCACAACAAAAAACTAGTATAATAATGACAAAAAAATTTCTAGTTGATACAAAACATACCTATTACATTAAAAATGACTAATCGCTAAAACCTAATTATTCTAGATTGGGTCTGGGATTTATCGATTTCCTCCACACTCACACTCCCAGTGAATGTCATATTTGATCAATGTCATCGTTCTTAGTTTACTGTGTCAATCCTCTGTTTCCACCATTCTCTGTGCTGCTGTCGATGTGTATTTTATATTAAAAATAAACTTATTTTTCGATAAATTTGTTTTGGTCAAGAAATATAGTCGGATGCGATTTCATACGCTTATTGCGAATATTGTGTTACCGTAGTACTGAGATATTGTTTTAAGAAAAAAACGACATCTGGAGGTTAAAACCACGATTTTTGGAAGCCGGAGTGTAGGTATGAGCTGTTACTATCCTCTATACTCACATCTAAAAGCATACTCTATCCATTTTTACTTGCTTTCGCATGTGTGAAACATTGTTTGAAATAGTTTTTTTGATATTGTCACCAGTTAAAAAGCGTTATTTTAATGCTTCAACTGTAAAAAAGTCTAAGAAATGGTTTCAAATTTGGTATATAAAAAACATGAAGGCTTCTTGGTACATTAGTCCAACTTGTAGGTTTTAAAAATAGCAATAAAAACATCATATACTCTAATATTACTTATTCATATATCGGATCTCGATCACATTCAATTAAGCAATCAATTTGTGATCTATATATGAGATTGAAGCACTATCGAATTCATAAATTCAGTACTATCTTGTCTCATCTATTGATTCTGAAATTGAATCTGGGTTCCTCTGTTAACAAAATTTAGATTTCAATATTCGATCAAAACTTCATGAAACGAATTGACAATTATAACGTGCTCTTTCCGTTGGTTGGTTGCTATATGATGCAATCTGATTAGTCAATTATGAATATTTCGCACTCTAGCAACTTCTGTTATTATAACAAAACTTTTAACATTTCATCATGAAAAATTCTGTATGACACTTTTTTGAAAAGAACTGATTTTATCATACAATTGTTATCTTTACTCTAAAGACTCGACACTTTTATAACAAAAAACACTCATAAAGATGATTGATAAACTCATCAAATTATCCTACACAAAAAAAAAGAAACACAATTGATTACTATTGTTCGATTATGACCATGTTTTTATTAATTGTTAACAATATTTTAATAATGTCTTAAGTGAACAAGCTTGAAGACAACACTCATCAATTAATGTATCATTAAATTCTAAAAGAATCAAAAATCTATATGCTTGTATATAATTACAATTCAACTTACGTGTATACTCAGTAATCGAAATTGTACGTAAATGTGAATCATCTTCGATTTTAAATCGTCGTTTCAATGGTGATAATGAAGACGATATTTCACTTCTTACTAGTAATTGTCTAGCTCGATTACATACCATATCAAGTAAACGAATCAAAGATCGACCACATATTTTAATACTTATTGGATTACGTGTAGATAACAGTTTTAATCTTCGATTATTTATAGTCTTTCCATTTACAAATAATGTCATTAAAATAATGATAATAACAAGTGTAAAAAATGATGATCGAAACATGTTATTGATCAATGAGAATGAATAATATTACTAGTGAACATTCGAGTCAAGTTCACTTTCATTATTGTTAATCTCAACCATGGTGATAGCACATACAGATTTCATCTAAATACACTAAGAGAATAAAGTTCGTTTCACTTACTTTATGAAAATTATAAAATAATAAAAATAGGCTTCTCTTTTATTCTTTCTCTTCCTTTTATCAAACAATAATTATACGGAAAGAATAATGTATACGAAAAGAATGAATAAACAAATCTTAATGTATGCATAGAGATTAAAAACTAATCAGCCTTGTTCTTTTTTCTATTCGTTCATTCATATATTAAAATTTTTTATAAGATGAATTGTATGTGTTATCATTTAATTCATATGGAGAATTAAAAATTCTGTTGATGAAAAACATCTATCAATCATCCAATTAAAATTCAATTCATAAATATAATTCTCATATTTCATGTATCAATTGATTCACATGGGACATAAATTTTATTCGCGTATCTACGAAAATGCATACCGATGACTTTATGTCTATTATTTTTATTGTTGGAATGGGTATCGTCCCGTTTTATCGATGCATTTCTTTTTTGCTGAACAATTTCAAAACTTAGAGAAAAAGAAATAAACTAAACAGTAAATGACATTATCCGACATTTTGAAAACGAACATAACCATCAGTAGAAAGACTAGAAAAATACTTTCGATTAGCGGATATAGTCGCATACAAATTCATGTGAAGTAAATGATGAATTGAAGAACGATTATATGTTCAACATGGTTACGATGAAGCAACTTGACAACCATATACATAAGCCTTCACAATATAGAAAATTTTTTTTCAATATTAACAAATTCTCAATTTAATGAAACATTATGAAAAAAATTCTTTATCATTAAAAGAATATTTAAAATAAGACTAGTCAAATATTACAATAATATTTTGTTGTCATTAGCTTATGAACAAATGAATTATGGTCTCATTTATATGATAACAATAATTTTCAATAATACAAAGTTATATTTGTTTTTCTTCATAAAATTTGTTGATGAAAGAAAACCCAATATCATCCCGTTTTTTTCAAAGTTTTTGTAATTCATATCAATTTCCACAGAGTCAGACTTTGGAGTCTCATGCAAACCTCTATTCAATATGTTAAAAGAGAAGACCAACGTCGGAACATTGTCTGTTTAATTATTCAATTAATAATTACTAATCATATATAATTCCTTTCTTTTATTGCACTAAGTTACTATCAGAGAAATACAAAAAAAAAAAAAAAGATAATGAGATAGAAAAAACACATGAATAGATGCGAAAATATCTGACTGATAAAGAAAATGTTTATTATCATAAATAAGCCGCCCAACCGATGAACATCTGACATAATAATTCATTACTTGTTGCTTGCTTAAAAGAAAAATAAGATCAAATAATAAGAACAAAAAAAATGACATTATGAATTTATTTAACATACTTGAATTAAATGATCAACTTGTCCTTCAACCGATAATGGTAATACAACACGTTTACCTGTTAATTCATCTGTACAATAACCTCGTACACGTTCTAATATATTTCTCACATGTGTTTGAGCCTATTTATAAATTTTCATTATTTCAATTCAAGAAAAAAAAACTAAATATTCATTTTCTGTTTACCTTCATATTAACAACTTCTCCACCTTCAATTTGTTGTTTTTTCATATTAGCAACTTCTTCTCTTGTTGCTGATTTCCATTCCACTAATGGATCATAAATAAATGTTTTCAACACTGATACAAGTAATTCACGTTCATTACGTATTAAATGTAAAATAATTTCACATGTTTTACGAAATACACCTTCAACACCTAATGTTCCCATACCATCAACAATATTATGTGTTAAACGAAATGGAACTTTTTCGGGAATTTCAAATGTTAAGCCTAAGATATAAATAGACTTATATTGAAAATTATTTGCCTTAAAAAATTTTTACCTTTATTAAATAAACAATTAAAATCAACATGAACTGTTTCACCTGTACATGTATCAATAAGAATATTTTCACAATGTCGATCACCTAAACCCATTATATAACCAATCATTGACATAACAGCTGTTGAGCGAACAAAATTCATTCGACTTATATACCAACGATTTGGATCAGGATAGGCAGCAAAAAAATATTGATGAAATACAGCTGGTTGATGAAAAGCCAATAATTTAAGGAAATCCTTTTTTTTTTTGGTTTTAAATAAACGAAATAAATGAAAAAAATAAATTATTCTTTTACATATGACTTACATTATAACGAGTTTCTTTTGTTTTATCTTTACTATTGCCATAAACTTTTATTTCTCGATTGGATACTTCAGAAAAATTTGAACTACGTTGTCGATAAAATTTTGTTACTAATGAACGAAATGTGCATAAATTAGGTAACCATTCAATTAATCCACAACGTTCATTTATTGGATAAACAGCATATGTACGAATATTTAATTGACGACGACGTGTCTCACTATTTTTCTTTAAACATTTATTAAATAAATGACAAAAATCTAAACAACGTGAATCAACACGAAGATCATCTTGAGATTTACATAAAAATGGATATAATTGTCCATCACTACCATGTATAACAATTTTTTTTGGTCGTTGTAATGATGATAATACTTCAATAGTATCTTCGAAACCTAAATTAAAAAAAGTTTTGTTTTTGTATCTTTTAGAACTAGTTCGTTTTCTACTTCTGTGACCTGTTCTTAAGTACAATAAACTATTCAAGCTTTCATTAATATGCTTTTATATAAATTATCAGTTTGAGAAAGTAAAAATATTTCGAAAGGTCGAGCTATTGTATTTGATTAGGAGTGATAGATCTGGAAGAATAGAGCGACAGTTGTGCTAGACTCAAAATTCTAGAATAATATATCCTATCAGGTATATGACTCACAATAGATCAAAATGATCCCTCATTTCTCCTCTGCTTCTTCCAGATAACTTGTGGTAAGCATTTTGCTTGACTCTCTTATATTATTTGTCCTTTCAATAAAAACGTCAAAATATAGTTTTTGATCTCAAAAAAATACTGATGCCAAATAGTGACTAGTATATGTGAAAAAAGTTTTAATTTGACCCTTCTTATTCTGTTGGAGAAGTGAAGGCGATACAGAACTCTTTTTTATATGAAATTTGATTTGGTCAAAACAGAAATGCAAAACAAAATTGAATTTTGATTTTCTTCTGAATACTTTTATTTGTTTCTTTTTCTATTGATGTAGTCAGAGAAAAATACTATATCGATTGAAATTCATCTCCTGTTTAGAACAGACAGAGAAGAATAGATAACAGAACATGGAAAGCGACTGTGAGATGCTGAATCACTGACAAACAAATAAAAAACACGCAATACTCTTTTTGTACAAGTCATATCGATCATATTTCGAAATCAAGTTGAGAAGTCCAGAAAGAGAAACGATTATCCTTAATATCAACTTACTCTGAATCGTCACAACAGCATCAGAAAATGGTTGATGTCGTGCATCATAATACGTTTTTTGTGGCATTCTATTTGTTCCAGTTGTTGTTGATCCTACTTGTGCAGTTTTTCTTGCTGTTGCTCGTCCTAATGAACCTTGTTTATTTACCATAGCTGTTAATTTTACTGCTGTTTCTGATGGAAGATCAACATTGTTTATTTGTTGTTGTTGTTGAACATGTGCTAATGTTGTCGATAGAGAAAATCTTACTGGTGGTGGTGGTAAACAAACTTGCATTTGTGATTGAATTGGTATAAGAATTGGACATGCTGATTGATTAGCATATGAACGTTTAAATGATTTAAATTGTGTTGATAAACTTATTTTATTTTGTCCATATGTAACAGCATGCATACATAATGTATCCAGTTGTTTGATAAGTACTGTTGCTTCAACAACAAAATCATGTAAACCAGGTTCAATATTCGAAGCTTCATTCCAAATAGCAATACAACGATCACGTCGCATACTATTCGATGAACCATATAAATTAATCATCATCCATAATGTTTGTTGAGGAAAAGCAGCAAATACTTGGGTTATAATGGAATTTAAAGCTTTTGATGTCATATCTTCACTATGACATATACGTGAGACCATATAAGGAAAAGCAGCAAGAAATAAATAAGGTGGTACACGTGTTGTCCATGACGATACTTCTCGTGTTATTTCAGTTAATTTTGCTTGTCCATATTGTTTAATTTGTGCTGCATCAGGTAAATTAGTTGCTGCAACTGTTAATGGTTGTTGTTTACGTGATGTTGTTGTTGGTACTGGTTTAATAAATGGGACAAGATCAGATGCAAAATCAAGCCATATTGTTAATAAACGTGTTAATGATTGATAGATAAATTCACAACCATATTTTAATGAACGACAATATGTATTAACAGCTAAACGAATATATTCCATCATACGTAATTTATTTTCTAATGAAAGTCCACTAGATGATAGAAAATTATTTGTTGTTGTTGTTGCAGTAGAATTCGATGATGTTGGATCGGATTCAATACATGATGAAAGTAATGTATCATAAAATTGTGCTAAATGAAAATGTGTTTCTTCCCAATGTGGAGCTGCTTCTTGAGCTTGTTTATACATTTCAAAAACGGCTTCATGAGGAGAATTCTGTTCACTATAACGAGCTAATAATAACCACACTTGTGCTTTCAAATCAGTTGAAACTAAAAGAAAAGAAAAATGACTTTCAGCACTGAACATTCCCAATTAATTTTGAGAGTGGTAGAGGCAGATAGTGTCTTCGCTCGTGTTTCTGGCAGAGATCAAACAAAAGATATTGAAGCCATTGACTTACGGTGGTGTTTTTTTTTCCTCAAAGAAAGCGTTTTTGTATGGTTTCAATGGTTCAAAAAATTACTTGACTCTAGAATCATGACTTCAGATTGATTTTCGATTCCAGTTTTTTTGGCGCCGCTGAACTTTATGCAGAATAGACAAAAGCTTACCGTGCACCTATCTAGTCAGAAACCAATATAAAATTGCTAAAATTTCCTCTGTTATGAATCCCACGAAACTGAAAAAACTTTGCTTAAGAGAAAGTCCCTAGCATTTCCTTCCTAATATGGTAATTCTGTTATTAATTAAATATGAAAATCAAACCTTGTAATCTATTTTCATTATGATTTCCTTCATTGATTGTTCTTGAATCTAATAATTCAATTTTCTTTTGTTTTAAACTCATAATAGCTCGATCTTTTTCTCCTTTATCCCACATCCATTGTGCACGTTCAATGGCTACTTCAATTGGATGTGATTGATTAGCTTTCATTAATGATCCAATAGCTGCTAAAGAATTATTTTGTGCACGTGCTATACGTGCACTATGTAACCAACATTCACCAATTTCTAATGCATGTTGTTTCGTATGATTAATATCATCCAATAATAAAAGTGTTCGTCTTAATGCTAATGATGGTTCAATATATTTACTATTTGGTGGTAATAATGCATGTCGTTGTGACCATATATCATCAATATTATCATTATCAATAATCATAATAGAATGATCATCATGAAATATATTTTTTAAAACATAATATTCAAGATCTTTAAGTAAATGTAATTTAGCTAAATAATCATATGCACGTTGATATGATCCAACTTCCATACTAGCTGCTGATATAGGACCCATTAAAGAATTTAATGCTAAACGAAATTCTGTATAGAATTGTTCACGATTTTGTTTTTTAGCTTGACATAAAATTTTTCCAACATATTCTTCAAATTGTTTTGAAACATGTAAATCCTGTAAAATATTCATTTTTGAACTTTCATTTATTTGTTCATTATGATTTATATATAAATTTTCATCTTGATATGAACAAAATTTTTCTAATAAATTCCATTTTGATAATTTCCATGCAGCTTCAATACGTAATGGATTTAACATATTAATCCATGTTGGATATTGAACAATAATACCAGTTGATTGATCAATTGTATGTTGAAATTGTTGTTGAGTTAATAAATTATTTAAATAACCTAAATATAAATGTATATTTGTTTGATTTAATTCATTCATTTCTAAAACATTTTCATATGCAACAATAGCTTCATCAATTTGTCCAGTTAATTCATAAGATAGAATTTCTTCATAAATATCTGTTCGAGGATTATCTAATTGTTTTGGTGTCATATTACGTCTAGCAATAATACCATAAGCTGAATCTGGATCATTTAAACGATGAAATAATTTTAAAAGAAATTCACTATTATGAGAAACATCTATTTGTTGTTCAATCGATGAATACATTTCAAAATGACGATATGCACGTGTATAATGATCATATTTAAATGCAATAGGAGCAAGAGAAAGATCAGTATGTAATAAACGAATATAATCGCGTATGCGTGTTATACCTAAATTATTCCATGTACCATCTTGAATATTTAATGGATCTTGATTTGTCTGCTGTTGTTGTGGTTGCGGTTGTGGTGGCTGACGTTTACGTTGATTTATTTGTTTGGCTTGTTCATTTGGATCGATTGTGTTTAAGGAAGAAAATAAAAGAAGAAAATCGATTAAAGTAAATATAATTTGACCAATTTGATGAAGAACATCAGAAGATGGATTTATTTCGTTGGCATCATATTGATTTGTGTAAGAAATTAATGCTTTAACTTCTTTATCTAGTACATCTTGACCAAGATTTTCACCAATTAAATGAAGAATTATATATGGTAACAAAAATGAACCAATAGAACTAAAAAGTAAGAGAAAAAAAGATATTAGAGCAATCTCTATAGGGTTAAAAACCTTCTTCTTCAGAAATACAATAAGAAAGTAATTCACATATTACAACGAGACGTTTTTGATATGCAATTTTGGATTGCATATCAGCATCTGCCATGGACTAACGAACATAGAGTAGAGAGCGGCACTGGAGCCAATTTCTAAGTGAAATAATCATCTCACAAATACATCAAACTTAGAATAAAACGCTTTTTAAATTGTAAGTTTTATTCTTCGGTATTCACTGTACAAGACCACTATTTTGCGTAGATTTTTCTTTCTAGAGCGATGATGTAAAACTCCAGAAAGGTGCCCTCTCGTTAGATAAAACATTGGACAAATTCATATGTTTTCAGAATTCGATTGGCATCTCTTTGGGGTCTATGCCTGTCAGAAGAAGTCAGATTGTTTTTCATAAAATAGTATAGGCTTTACGTCCTGTATGTCAAATATAAAGGTTCATTATCGGAAAATAGCCGATGATGATCAAAAGAAGAACGATCTGTTTCTATTAGTTGTGAATCAAACGCAATATAAAAAATTTTTCTTGTGCTAACTCACCTATTAAATCTAACAGCAAATAAACAAGAATGAAATAAATGATAATAATTATTATTTGGTAAATGTTGAATTAAATAAGGTACAAGTTGTGTTAACCATTGTTCATATGTTTTTATGGTTAATTGTTTTAAAATTGCATCTTGTGATTTATTTGTTTTTAAATTTGTTTCATCAGTTAAAACATATTTCGATGTACGTAAAGGTTTAAATAAATCTTGTTGTTCTTGATTTAATTTTGTCCATAATTGTTGATTAATTTTAATTTTTTCATTATCATCTGATAAATTTAAATTATAAAATTTTAAACATTCTTGTATTGCATATGATATTGTATCTTGTTGTCGTACTTGATCAGCAGCAAGAAAAGCTCGTGTTAATTCAGCAAATAATTCTAATGCAAATTCTTGTGAATATAAATTAAAATAACAACGTTTTAAATTATCATTATTAATTTCAGGATTTGAATTTGATAATAAACGATTAATTAATGATGTTGAAGTTGCTATTGTTGAATATAATTTACGAAATTCTATTCGTCCAGGATCAATAGCACCTATTTCACCAAGACAATTTATAGCAATAAAACGTATGTTTTGATTTGTATCATTTGAACGTTCAAGTAATGTTAATATAAGACGAGTTATTATTGATGAAACTGTATCACGTGATAAACACATTTGTAATAAATATGGACGATTTGTTTTTAATAAATTTTCTAAACTATTTAAAGCATGTAAACGTATATCCATCATATCAAAATTTAAAAGTGTTATCAGACGTTGAAATTTATTTTCTAATAATGTACGTTCATCATTGTTTAGTTTTGATTGATTATCATGCATTTCTGTATATTGTTTTTTACACTTATTTAATTTTATTTGAATCTTTTCAATTTGATTTATTTGTGGAATAAGTAATAAATCATCTGTTAGTAAAGCTATTTGATTATTTGAAATATTATTTAACATAAGAAGAATTAATTCTTGAAAATGTTCACTATTTATTTCATGATATGGTAATAATGATGCAATTAATTGTAATATCATTGATGAAAGTATATCAACATTACTACTTAAATGATGAATAAATTCTTTCCAAAGATTAAATACGATTAGACTTAATTCTGATGAACATTGGAGAGCTAGACGAAGTGATCGAAGAAGTTTTACACGTGTTGCAACAATTTGGGATGAATCTAAGAAAATCAAAGATCAAACAACTGTTCACATAATTCCTGTCAGATTCAAATGTAAAAAAAAAAAGATTATAACACATATGACTAACTCAAAGAGATTTATGAAAGATCGGTTCAATTTGATACTTTATGCTTTAGTTCGTTAAAAAAGAAAAATAAAACTATTGTTACTGTATTGAATTTTGATCAGAGATGGGCAGCTCCGACCATTTCTCGCTTCAGCTCCAGTCACTAACGAGTCGCTCCGCTCCCGCTCCACAGAAATTACGAAGTACTCCGCTCAGACTCCGCTCTAGCTCCGCTGTAATGAAAAATACTTTTTTGCTGTTTTTGTTGAAGCTTGATGTGCAGTAAACTTGACGTTTTATTTCAACATATATACCTATAGAATATAGACAAAAAAAACTAATTCTCAATATATTTAACTTAGCCTTATTATAGTATGAAGATTATTTACGATGCCAAATAGACTAGTGAGCTACAGCAAATGCCGATTGCATTTTAGTAAAGTAACCATTGAAAGCATATTCTTAGGGAGTCGACTCTAATGAGGATACATGAGTATGCCACTCGAGAGAAACACCCTTTCAACTAGACTGGAGGTAGCCGGTGCAAGTATGAATAAGAAGATGATTCATGGAAGTCATCATCTTGCTCAGTTAACGATGACGATCGGTTATTTGATTGCATTGCCATAGAAAAGTTTGTTCATTCAACTTTCAGCTGAATGAGAAATTTTTCTGCTCTGTCATTGCTTACTTCTCATACATTTCATGATACAGTCGAGTCCGCTTATAAGAGCGTAGTCGGGGTTTCTAAAAGAGGCTCTTATATCCGGACTGCTACTTTATCCGAACTATATGTAAAACAGTGCAAAAATTGTTTCTTGTCAACATTTGTTAAGTAGTACATAGACATGCATAAATTTACTTAAAGAAATCCGTGATTTTACTTTGAGTACGATTAATTAAAGCGTTCTTTTCGATCATGTCTTCGGTATCATAATATGAATTATACTCTGTAAAATTCTCTTCCAAATACTTGCGAACCATCGAAAGATGCATCAGTGCATCTTTATGAGAGATACCTGGCATCGGTTCATCAGCAATTCCGGCTTCTTCTTCGTCTAAAATATATATTACCTTTTGGATGGATGAATATCTGACCCCTTTATTGAAGAAACAGCAAGTATATATACATAGGAGAGAGACAATAGATGGACTAGAGAAAAAGTCCAGAAGCTTCGTCCGACTGTTTAGAAAATGAATAATAGACAGAAAAAGACAATGGTTCTTCTTACTCAACAAAGACGTCAGTTAGGACAAGTGAGTAAGACGAAAAAGAGCATACGTGCAACAGATGAATAGAAAAAGAAAAGAACAAGAACATACAATATGGCTCTTTTATGCGGACTCAAATCGCAAAAAAGCGCCAAAACAAAGCTCTTATAAGCGAACCGCTCCTTTATCCGAAGCTCTCATAAGCGGACTTTGCCAGCACGTAAAACACAGGAGAAAAAAACGGGGAATTGGAAAATGGCTCTTAAAAGCTGACCGCTCCTTTATCTGGAGCTCTTATAAGTGGACTCGACTGTACAGCTGAATTCCGGCAACAATTTGGTATAACGGGGATTAAAATGCCAAAAAAAGGTCGTGGAAAAAACATAAAAACAATATACCGACGCATAAACAGTCGTAAAAAGTGTCTGTAGACTCAAATGAGTTATACACAAGAATACATTGGAGTTCGCTCTTTCCAACTATGCAACCCCGAGCTCGATAGCCTGAGTCGATCACAAGTTATTCGAAAAATGGCCACGTCCATTTAACTCTGAAATGGACGTTAGTGGTCAGATATCATATTTTAAAAGTCTTACTGATGACTAAATCAAGAACCCAATAATCTGATTAATATTAAGTTACAACGAACGAATAAAATCCTATGGAGTGAAATGTTCTTAGTTCGACTCCAAGAAACTCTGAAAATTTATTTTTGACATTTTATATGGGTAAAGTTAACATACGTGTATTTTAGAATAATGAACTCCTTTAGAGCTAATTATTCTGTTACTGATATCTAAAGTTATTTTAGATATCTTGAAAGAATCAGCGCTAGAGATCGTTTGCTCAGAGTAGTTATCAGTAAAGAAACTAGCGTTAACAACATGAAGAAGTATGTATAGACAAATGAAAAAGTGTCCTTTTAATCAAATAAGAAATTCAAAACCAATATCAAATAATATAAATCCTTTTTCAGAACATCTAGTGTGACGTCAAGACAAAAACTTTTGTTCCAAGATTTAATAGAATCTTTAGCAAATCAATTTTTGAAAGGCAGCTTTTTGGAGTTGAACCTTGCTGAAAATTCACCCTAAATGTAGTTCGTACCGTCGAATCTAGTGCTAAAATTTTCGGTTTTGTGGGCATGACTCGATTTGTCTGAAATGGCCATACACTTATTTTTATGCTACTTGTTAATAAGAATACTTTTCTGATGTTGTTTAGGATTTTCTTGAAAACTCAATTAAACACTAGCATAGGAAATATAGATATCAAAAATACATTGGGTGCAAATGTTATCGCGTGTGTTCGTATAAAATCTCTTGTTCTGATGCGTAATTGAGTTTTGGGGGAGCTTGTACAAGAACTCATACTCCGACTCCGATGTAGAGCTCTACAGTGTCAGACTTTAGTAAGACAAATAATTTAGCAGAAACTTGAAATATACTTCAAGTTGATTAAAATCAAAGATTCAGTTTAGATTGTCGACACTAGACATGCTTATCTACAATAGACTTGCTTTTGTAAAGACCAAATTCTATTGACTAATAAAAAAATTTGCAGGTGTACATGGGTTTAATATGCATTCTAAACTTCTTCCTTTCTCTACAGAAATCAAATTCTTTGAAATACTTTTCAAAATACAGAAACATACTCATGATTTTCAATACTTCTGTTAAACTTAATAATACTCGTTTTTTCGAATGTAAAGGTGTACTATTCGATAATAATTCTGTTTCAAAATCACACAAAATGCCCAATAATTTTGATTGTAATGCTTTATGAACACATTCTTCTGTAACAACATTTGAGTAGTCTTTATCAATTGTTAATGTTATTCCATCTAATATACCAACAGCCATTTGTAAACCTTTCATAACATGGTCAGGATGTGTACTTATATAAAGTAATAATTTACTAAATATTGGTGGACCACCAAAACGAAATACAGCAGCTAAATCAGCACCAGCTTCTTGTTCAATAAATTCATTAACTTCATAAACACGATTTATTGAATAATCTCCATTTGAACTTTTACTATTGTCAAGACGTACATGTCTCCATACATGTGAATATATTGCTGGAAATGCATCAAATATAACTTTTTTCTTTGACATTTTAACAGCTGTTCGAATATGTTGTACAACTCGACTTGCATTTAATGAACGTTCTTCAACAATCCATGGTAATAAATCTGGTAAAATACGTTTTAAATATGTATTAAATGAACTTCCATTTTGTTGCATCATACTAAATAATAAATGTAAATGGCGTAAACATATATCTGATGGTTGTTCAGAATTTAATAATAATGATTGTGATATAAGACGATATAAACTATCTGTATGTTGTTGTACAATTGTTGTTAAATCAATTTTTTCATTTATTGTTAAAAGATTTTTATTTTTATTTAATTGAATTTGATTACGACTTTGTAAATATTCATCTTTAGCTATACTCATTAATTCAATTTGTGATGTATGTTGAAATGATGTTGCTAAACCATTTATTAAAATAAATAAAACAAAAACAAATATATCTTCATTACATGTACGTCGTGCTATTAAACCACATAAATGTATTAAACGACTATAATCATCATCATGATGATTTGTTGTTTGTCGAATAGCATCATTATTTAATTGTGTTAATGTATCAAATAAAAATTGATCAAGATTGTCATTCAGAGAACTTTCCCATTGACGATTATTTGAAATGAAAATTGTTTTAAATAAATATGGCATAATAGATAATAAACATAAACGTTCTTGATTATTTTGATTGAGATAAGTATTAACTAGATATTTTAGTTGAAGAAAATTTTCATCAAGATCATTAAGAGGACGAATAAATGATGGATGAGAATCAAATGTTTGAAAAAATTCAATTAGAGAAACATAATTGCATGGACTAGATGTTTGATTAAATAAATGAAATATTGGAAGAATATTTGATAAGGAAAATAATGTTGAGTTAGTGCTAGTTGTTGATGATCGTGAACGAATATAAACATGATCATTTAAGAATGAACATGAAGTACAGATAAGTTCAAATGAATTGACAATTGTTTGATTGAAATGATCATGAATCTAAAGAATATTGAATTTTAGAATAATGTTGAAATGAATCTATGCAAATAGAAGGATGCGGGTTCATAAAAACGCACCCTTGCAACTCTCTACTTGTTTGATCTCATTTCAATAAATACAAATCATCTTTTTTTTAAGCAGGAAGCTCAATCAATTTGATGATTGCACTTACTTTCAATCGAACAGTATTAGCATCAATATCGAATAAACATCGATGCATACGCCAAATATCTATTATTATTGGTTTAAGTTGATCATCAATATCTTTCGAACAATATTTCGTATAAAATATTGATAAGAAAGATGTTGTTTGTAAATTATATTGCATTAATGGCAATACTTTAAGTGCCATTAATTGTGTGTTTATATCATTATCATTAAGACATAAAGAAAAAATATGAAGACGAAGTATAGGATAAAATTGTGAATTAAATAATGCTAAACATTGTAAAGATATTAGTCGATCGTTTTGATTGAATTTTGATTGAAATGTTTGAGCAAGTTGTTTAGTTATTTTACATGTATCTGTTATCGGTTGAAAATCATACCAGTCAGTAAGGGATGATAACCAAGAGAGACATAAAATCGATAGAGTATCTTCACGTAAACGAATATCTAATTCATCTAAACAGATTCAAAAATTATTTATTTTCAATATTATTATTGTTTCTAAAATAAAATGAATATAACTATTTCTTCAAGATCTAAAGAACAAAAACAACTATCTATCTGTAGCTTTTCAGCTAAGAAACACCAATATGGAGAAAATACGATGAGACAAAATTATTTTCTTTCGATCAGCTTAAAGTTGACGACCTTACGCCGATTGGAAAGGAACATTTTTCTCTGTTGGATGATCATGTCGAAAATTAAGTTTGACTAAGAAAAATGCTTGAACTCAGAAAGACACTCAACAGAAATTCGACATTCTCATAAATTTTGTTTCATCGTATTTTCTATACAGTTGATGTTTCTATACTGAAGACTACAGGTAGATGGTTGATTCCATTCTTCGAATATTGAAGAAAAAATCATGTTCATTTTATTTTGCCACAAAATAGAAAATCTTGAGACATTTACCAGAAATATAAATTGATGTCGCAACAATTGTAGCTAAAACATATTCATAAGCAAGAGAGAACAATCCAACAGTAACACTATTAACAAAATAAGCAAGTGTATTAATTAGATAACCATAAATCGAACTAATTTCATCGATAGTTAACCAAGACAAATAAAATTCATTTTCTTCAATGGATCCTAATTTAATCTGACGTATTTGACATCCGATAAATGCTTGACAAACAGAAGTTATTAAACAATAAACATTAAAAACACGTTGTAAAGCATCCTATGATTAAGCATTGAATAATCTTTAATATTCTAATAGAAACAAATATCTAACCTCTTCATTATTGAATGTACTTTTTTCTAATGTCGTTTTCAAATGTTGCCATATAGTTTTTAATAATCGTATTCGTCGTACACTAATTCAAAAGATAAAACAATGTATTTTTTTGGTATTAAATTTGAGCAATTAAATAGTTTTTTTCTCAATTTTCTGAAAATTTTAAGAATTTATACTCGTTGAATCTTAAAAAATACTTTCGTTTGTACCTTAAAGTTTAAAGAATAATATTTTAATAATCTATATATATAAATATATATGCGAAAACAATCCTCATATTCTTAATTTTCATTTTTGAACATACCGAAATGGTTGCTGTGAAGCTCTATTCTTTTCTTGAATCAACCAAATAATAACTTTTCCTAATGCATGATTTAAATACTGAAAATAAACATTATCAAATCAATAAATTTAATAACAATAAATGATTACTTTTGCTAATAGACATTCATCAAGATTTGCTAATAAATGTTCAACTATTTCATATGCATGTATAACTAATAATGAACTAGTACCAATATCTCGTTGACCACATTCAAATATAATTGCTAACCATATACAAAATTGTTCAAGATAAATTTCTGTTTGAACTTCACCAAAAAGTCTTAATGGTCTTGTATTCATATGAAATTCAATATCCGCTTTACTTGCTATACTAATATGAATAAGTAAATCCTTTAAACGAGGTATAACAAAACCAATATGTTCAGCAAAAAGCATGATTGCTTCATCATGATTTTGACAAATTATTTTAAGAAAATGAGCAAAATCATGTTCCAATTGAGCCGAATGTCTGCAAATAAATAAATATATATGTAAGATAATTTTGAAATGATCCTTTCCTTTCTGAAGTTTTCAGAGAACAATGCATAAAAAACGATCTGAAATTTACAAGGCAAATTAATTGCGATAAGTAGAATAAAAGTCGTCTGAGACTCAAAATTCCCAAATACTTCTCTGCCGGTAACTGCCGTTTGAACGTAGTCGTTTTCGCTTAGTCCATAAACGACAGCAAAAGTAAAAGAAATAATTTTTGACTTGAATATAATATATCTACGTACAATAGAATAAATAATCCCATAATCGACGGCCTGGAGAGAACTATTTCAGAATTTACTCTTATCACATCTGTTGTGATTCATGACTAATAAGATAATTTGCTCAAAAACCATAGAATATTTAACTCTAATCTTTAGTCTCAATCTCAGTAACTTTTGTATCCCATGGTCTAGGTAACTATAATGGAGACTTGAGTTGATTCTGCACATCACTAAACGGAGAAGGTTGTCCATTTTGTTTGTTAAAAACTCATTTTTTATAAAAATGTAAAGTAAGATAAAAATTTTACTGTTTTCTAAACAAAAATATTCCGTCTATTCAGATTTTTTTTGAGGTTTACAGTTGTCGACCAATTCTTGGAATATGTTCATTACATGGGAACGTGGAAAAGTAATCTCATTAAGACAAAAAAATGTAATCTACTTTGGTTCTGTATAAATAAAATTCATAATTGTTAAAATAATATCGGATATTGAAAAATGAACATAGGGTTTTAAATCACCAATTAATAATCCTAATGAACGATGTTCAATAAAAGATGAAAAAAATGAAAATGTTGTCTAAACAACAGAAAAAAAAACAAAACAAAGAGAATCAATGATTTGAAACATGAATAGTAAAAATTTTATCAACAAACCGATTTCACATGTATATCAGCAGTACGAATTAATTCACATAATGTTCCAATTAAAATCGATATTGTTTGACGATCAAGTAATGTTGACAATGTACTCGCAAAATGTTTAAGCACCGAACTTTTAATTGATAATAAAAAAAAAAAAGATTAATTTATTAATAAGATTTTTTTTCTATGAAATATAAACTTTACATTAGATTTATTTGAAAACTACTAATATCATCTGAACAATTAAACTCAATAACACATCGTTCAATTGTGACATTAGTTGAAAATGATGAACCAACTTGTTCAGGTACAAGAAAACGATGAAGTTGTTTTGGTTGATGAATTTCTTCTTCGATAAATTCAATATCATATTTTATAGTATCTATTTTGGTTTATTAAATTCAATTTATTCAAAAACAAAAAAAGTAAAAATTGATAAACTAACCATTTAAAGTATCGATTAGTTCATTAGTAAATATTCGAAAGAGAACCGGCCAACGAAGTGATAATTCACCATAGAGATTTGCAAGTACACCAATAGTATTTTCTTGTATGGAAGTGAACTTTTTTGATGATAATGTCCAAACAAGTAATGAAACTATATAAACATCAAAATCTACGTATAACAAAGAAAAAAACACAATGGTACATAGAAAGACAATACTAATAAAATTATACAATAAGAATTTGTTGTACGAATATCTTCAAGTGTATGTTGTTTATCAGCATCTGTAACGAATACACTTGGTGTATTAATAACAATTTGATTAATTGAATTGAAGAATTTCTCTTGTTGAACATCGGTTACTAAAGAATAAAATTAGATCCATGGCTTAGATACAAAAAATAAGTTCATATCTATCAAACCTCGAGTAAGACTTCGAAAGAATGATGATAAAAAATGGCACATTGTATTACGACCAAATTCAACATTATCAGTTGGTGGGATAGGATTAGTCGCGCTAAAAGAAACAAAGATACTTTCAAAATTAATAAATAAAGTTCAAACGAAAACAACTATTGTTGACATCATCTAAACGAGAAATATGATACCAACAGAAGTCTAATAAATAATATTGATTATGAAATGATCCAGCTGGTCAGATTTTATTGAAAGTTTCTCACTCAATTATGATTTTTAATTAAGTTGACTGATTTATTCAAAGCCGAATCATCGAACTTATTCCATTCAAACATCAATAACGTTTTGTCAGAAACCTTGAAATCCACTGATTAACTACCAATCGTTCTAAAATGTTTTGAATTTAAGATATTTGACTAACGAAGGAATAGTTTCAACTTATCATCAGTCACTTTGGATTCCAGTGTAATATGAAAAAAGTTCAAAGGATATCTCTTCTAATGTCTTCTAACCACAGTCATAGGCATTTTACTAGAATTTTAGTTTCTGACTTGGTGTATACCAACCGAATGATCACATTTTAACCAGGAATTTTGCCGACAGGTGCATGTATTTGTTAGTAAAAAATTTTCTTTACAAGCTAGTAAAGTTTCAGAGAATAGAAAATTCTAGAATCATTTGTGAAATATAAATGACTTTTGAAGCTTCAATATCGTGGAAGAGAAGCATTCTTTTGAGTTAAAATTTTGCGGACATTCTACTGGCAAATAGATCTGTCTATCAACAAAGTCTCAGATTAGAATACTGTCATTCGATTTGTTGATAGAAACCAAAGTCAATGAAATACCCATTACTTTGAACAACAATCTTGTGAGAAACTATTTTTTTTTAAGCTTTTCATACCTCACTGGAGTCTATCTTATGTATAGACTATGAGTTCAAAAGTAATCGATCAGATGAAAATGTTCTCCTTTAAGCAGAGTCGATTGGTTATGTTTATTCGTATTCTCAATATTATCGCAAGCCATCAGCTCATTATTTTAACTGAGCTCCCATGATGAATAAAACGCTGCATCAGATCAAAAGTTTTTGATATTCGACTTGTACAAAATTGTTTACATTAGATAGGATATTTTCTAAATATTATTACTCTGATGTTGGACGACGTCAAAATTAAAAATAAACATCATTATTCGGCATAGTTTAATTGAATGTTTCATATTCAAGACAACTTTAGATTGACTAGCAGTCAATTGACTGATTTCAAGACTACAGATAAAATGCTTCTAACGTTTGAATTAAATGAGCTAGAAGATTCAGCTTTGAATAGATCAACCGACTAAATTGAAGATCATAAGTGCTTGAAAAATTTTCAGCAAAATTAGACCAATTCGACCATATCATAATCAAGATCATTTTTTTTTATTTCGTCCACATTTCTTGTTTGAATGTGAACAATGCAAGTTTTTAGTTGCTTTGATACTCAAGACCAACAAAAAGTCATCAAAATACATTTTAAATTTTGACCTAAGAATAGCATATATGAATGACAAAAATATCATTAAATGTAGAGTGCCGACCTGTAAAAAATTGTTTTTCTTTTTTACTATCCATGTGCGTCGCCTGAAAACACTCTTTTCTAATAATGTCCACTTATGAACGAACTACCCAACGATCATAACTTGATTGTCAAGACCTATCAGCAAAATCCTTGTCAGACTTCTAATCTTAGCAAGAGTATCTTGTACATCCAACATGAGCTCCAACGACGAGTAATAATTCAATTAGTTTCCACGCCAGTCTAACGGTGGCAAAAACTACTCATTAGTACGAATTAATAGCCCACCATCAGCATTGACTTTCTCTGACAGCAAATCCCACTGAATTCGAATTTATTATCTTATATTCTTAAACGATCATTTTTTTAGTATCTTATCAATAAACGTACTTGTTAGTTGCATTGGTTTCTGCTGTTGTCATATTCATTCAACAGCGAAAGAAAATATTTTGTTTCTAAAGCAAAAAAACAAAAGCATCTATATTCATCATTCGTCGTTTTTGTTTGCATTTTTTTCAAGTTGTATCCTGTAAAAAAAAAAGAAATTTCTTTTTTTTCTTTCGAAAAAAAATTTTTCTTAAGTACTAATCGAGTTCGAAAATACACATGGAACGAATACATACACACATACGGACACACATCCACAACAAACAAAAGAAGAAAAGAAAAACAATAAAGAGAAGATACAAAGAAGAGCAACATCTTTACTTTGCAACAGAAAAGAAAGAAAAAAAGAGAATAATCGTCGAACTTTTTTTTTTTTATACAAAAAAATGTTTAGTTTTAACTTGGAAGAGAATGTTCAATGACAACCATACCGATCGTTATCTAAATACATAGTATTTGTTCTATTCCAAATCGAATGGACTTAAATGTATTAATCTATATGCATAATATAAATCATATATGAAAGAATCAATTTGTACTGTTCGTAGACGTATTTGTGGATGCGGAATCCGCTATTGTTATTGACGATGAATTAGTTGCATTAGCTTGTTGAAGTAATTCAGCTAATTTAGCTTTATCAACTGACGTTGAACCAAGTAATGCTTGTGCAACTTCTGGAATAATATGAATGGTTATCATAGGTACAGTTGATGACGATGATGATGTACCATCAGTTGTTGTAATTGTTGGTGTTAACCGTGTTAATGGTGCAATAGCAAGTAAATCTTGTGCATTGGTAAAATTAATAGTAACACGTTTACTATTTCCATTATTATTATTTGAATCTAATAAAGTTGTTGTTGAAATTGTTTTTATATCAGATTTAGGAATATTTAAACTATTAACAGGTGTTGTTGTTGTTATTGGTAAACGTGTCTTTTTTGTACATACATGGCGATGTAATAAAATTTCTAATTGATTTTTTTGATCAGCTAATGTCTGAACAGCATGTTCAAGAGATTTTTGTTCATCCAATAATACTTGCTCAACCTATTTTAAATGAACAAAACAAAAATTCAAAAAAGGAGCTCTTTTTTTGGAAATTTAACAAACCTTTTCTAATTGTTCACGAAGTTCGTTTCGTTTTCGTCGACATTTAGCAGCAGCTTGTTTATTTCTATCACGACGTTGTTTACGTCTTGCATCTTCATCTGGTGGAAGCTTTTTAAAAAAAAAAAAAAAAAAAAAAAAAAAAGAAAATCTTTTAAAAACATTAATATAAAGAAATTTATAATACATACGGGTTCATCTTTACTTTTTCGTCCATTAGCAAGTGTTGGTGCAACACTCTTTCGTGGTTTGACAACAATTGGACCATAATGAATTGGTTCTGTAGTTTGTTGTTTATTATTTTTTGATGTTGATGCTGTTTTGTTTAGTTTTCCTCGTGTCGTTTTCGTTCGAGTTTTCAAATCATTTTGTGTTTGATTATATTCATCTGTTGACATTGAAGCATCATCATCATCATCACCTTCTAATATTTCAGTATGTTTTGTTGGCGTGAGTTTAGCTTGATTGGCTAAAGCCATGGCTGTTGGAACACCTCTTGGTGTTGTATAGTCAGCAAGTGATAATATTGGTAAAGTTGATGGAGATGGAACGCTAATTACATTCTATACAAGAAAAAGAAAAGAAGTTTATAGTATCAAAAAAGCAAGGTTTTATTTTATTTTTTGGTCACATACCAGTTGCTTCACAGTTGTTGCTCGTTGTCGTCCAGTAGCCATCGAAACAAGTGTATTTGCAACTTCAGCAGCCGTATTTTCTGTATGAATATGTGTTACAGGATTATTTGAAACAAGTAATGTTGTTGACCCAGACAAATCTTGTGTTTGAACACTTTTTTCTGCGGTTTGCTGTTGTGTTGACATTTTAAATAGAGTCGGTGTAAATGTTTGTATCTTTGATCTACATCGAACGGCAAAAGAAAAAAAACTAATGAGAACTGAAATGTGATATTGATTTTTTTGGTTTTCTTTTGAGAAAATACCAGATGGTTAAAAACGAAATAAGTTCAAAATCGAAGATATTTGAGGAACATCTCTTCTATAGGATATGACAAAAAAGAAAAAAGAGAATTTCATGATCCACGAGGTACTGACATTAGTCAGTCTGCTTACCGCCCGTTGAATCAGCGTCGCATCATCAGAACGCAAAGTACTGTAGACAGAAAAGCGCGAAATAGAGTTATAGTTGCGCATATAGCCCATACTCCCTTAACAACATACACACATGCTACATACTCATACATCGTTTTTGCGATTGCTTCATCTTTACGTCCCTGATTGTTCTCTTACTCAGCTGCCGAGGAGGCGCAAAAAAAAAGGAACGAAGAGAAAAAAAACGGTTTGGAGGACGATGACGCATGATTTTTTTTTTATTCGTCTCGTTTTTACACTATACGTTCTTTTCCTACTTACTATAGACGATGATTAATGACGCATACACATCGCAAAAAAACAGGACAAACAAAACTTGATGACAAAATCTGCGTCAAGCTTTATGTATGAATATATAGGGGCGTTGTTGTCATGTTTGCTCTATGATTCATATCAAAAAGAAAAAAAACCTGTCTTCAATAATAATCAAACTTGGAAAGTAAAAAAAAAGAATAGAAACATCGGTAACCAAAAAATGACTTCATTTTATCTACCGTCGCAATCGTTTGCATATGTCCTGTGTATATATACCTATATTTAATATTAAAAATGAATAAGAGCATTGATTTTTTTTCTTTTATACGACAGTAATCGGATGATCGTTCATAGAAAATGTTATACTCAAAAAATAGCATACCTATCTTGCACAACACTGAATACAACGTTTCTACGATCCATTGTTGTTAATATTTGTCCATTTATTATAATCTGAAAGAAATTAGTTCAATAAACATATATTTAGAGTCAAAAATAAAACATTATCAACTAGTCAAATATTTTATTTAAACAAATTGATGAGAAATCGTTTTTGTTTTTGGTGTCTAAAGTTCAAGGCCATTTGTTATAAGCATTAAATTTCAATCAATCATGCGATTTAAACAATGCTTACATCAGGTGTTTCATTGATAGAAACTAAAAGAAAATGATTTTATAAAATTTAATAATTCAAGATTAATTTTCTTCTCATGTGTATTTAATAGTAATGTTTTTTAAAAACAAAAGAAAACAATATGAAAACGTTTGGTTTTTCTATTCTTTCTTAGTCTTATATTAGATATGTCATAGGTACAATGTAATACAGAAACAAAACAAATGATTGTTACAGTAAATATAAATTAGTAATTCAACCAAGAGCATATTGATATTAATGAAGATTATTTTAAGATCAATGTTTTTATCAAAGGAATGTGATGCTTCTCTGAAAATCAGTTTGACTCCACGGGAGTCTGTAGTTATTATAGCATGTACTATGTGTTTATGCTCTCAAAAATAGGTTTACCCTCCTGAAGTTTCATATTGTACTCTGCCCGGAAGATAAAATCTGAATAAAACACCGTTCAGGATGTTTCTTTAGTATGCCTGCTTGTTAGAAAAATATGAAAGCAAAATTATTTTTGTTCGTCATGTGGATAAGTATAGGAATTTCTTCAATGAGATAAGGCATCATTCTAGACAATACTCATCATGATATCGTTTTTTTCGATTTTTAGAAGCTCTAATCTATAATTTCTATCAAATTCTTTATACAATCGAGCCCGTCAGATCTACAGCTTTCAAAACTGGATCTGCTTGATCAAGTTGTTTCGAATTGTACTTTGATATTCTCAATCAAATTTTCTAATGGACATTAAGCAGTCGCTTCGAAGATACAAGAGCCTGTTTTCTTTTCTTTTTGTATTCAGGAACAAGTGCACCCTAGACATTTCTCAAGCGATTAGAGGCCTGTCAGGTCTAAAATTTTCGATCCAGATCCGGTTCTGGACCAAACTCAACGAAGTCTATTAGTGAATCTCATCAACAGTATTAAATTGACCAGTTTTGTATATACACCAATAGATGATTTATTATTTATCTTGATATATTTTATTTCATATTACAAAATTCGATTCAAAACTTACGTGTTGATTTCATTCAAATGATAGAAACATAAATGATTTCGTATGAAAATTATCTTATAAAAATTATTCCATTTAAATACAAATGCAATGAGCTAGATCATCTAATGTAAATTTTTTTAAAATTGCATTAAATAAGTGAACTTACGAATATTAAATATTTGAATACTTAGAGCTAGAAGTCAACATTCTCAATAATTTAACATATTCAACAATGTTAAATGTTATAATAGATTTAAAAATAATCTAAAATTAGAAACAATATAACTAGTTAACAATCACTTGATATCACTGTAGCATATATATATATATGTATATCAAAAAAAGAGAAAGAATGAACTTTTGCTAACATAACAAACAACATCCACAACATTGGACTATATCGAACAGATGATAAATAGGAGGGAAAAAAAATATCTATATACATATATCATTCATCATTTGCTGTCAATGGTGTTGAGATCATCATCGTTGTTGTTGTTGGTGGTGGTGTTATTGTTTCATTAGTATCATTATTTCGTAGGTCAAATGATTTAACAAGTTGAAATAGTGCACCTGCTTCTCTAATGTGACGAAAGTTAATACAAAAACCTTGAATATCCAAAAAAAGATCTTTTATATCAATAACTTTATTACGTATTAACGATTGAATAAAAACACTAACAAGACGTACGAAACGATTTTGTAAATATTTATCTTTTGTTTCTTCACATGTTTTTATACATGTTGATATATATAAATGAAGAAATTCTTGTGGTAATTCCATTGATGTTGATAAACGATTAACAACTTCCATTGAATGTAAACTCATATCCATATTAAGTAATGATGATAAATATTCTGTCATTTGATTTGATGATATTAATTTTAACAAACATTGTATACTTATTAGTGGACTATTTTCAACTAATATGGGTAATTTTGATGGTACAAGACCAATATGATAAACAAGATTTGGATCATTATCAAGTTCATCTAATAATTTTTGTTGTTGTTGTAAATTTAATGCACCTTGATATGCTTTATCCATTAATTGACGAATTTCATGATTAATTGTATTTGCAATACACATTGTTGAATCCCATGTAAATAAAGATGGATCACAATCAATAGGTGATAACCAAACTAATTCATCTATTGTACATTCATGTAATGGTGGAACAAGACGAAGAAATTCTGGATGAATTGTTTGTTCCATAGCATTATTTGATAATAAACGTTCAATAGTTTGCCGACTATCATTTGAACGATGACGTGGACCACCAATAAGCGTATCAAATCCATACTAAAACAAAAAAGTATATTTATTAACTAAAAGAGTTATTTGAATATTCTATAGAAGACTGACAAGTAGGATCCATTGACTAGGCCTCAAACTATGAGCTAATTATAACTTATCAAGATGTTCTCAAAAACTGTTAGCCTATGCCCAGAATTGTTG